ACAATATTAAACTACATCCAATGGGTTTGTATTTATATCTTCATTCTACGCACATTCATTCATCATTAAAGTTTACAAAGTAAAAACTTAGAAAAAGAAAAATTCATTTCTTTTGTTTTCGATAAAAGCCTTGTATATATGAGTACTTTTTCTCTGGGAAGCAAAAAGAAAGAAAAAACGTGACTAATGTAATTCCATATACATGCTGTAATCGGAAGAAAAGTTGAATCATACAAACCTACTAAAACAGTATAGAATTTTCGAAAGAATTCATTCTTTTTCTTTGTTATATCTGTATAAAGACGGGAAAAAAACAGACCAAGAAATATTTCTCATTCTAACTTTCAAACAAACGTACGTTTTATACTTCAAAAAATTTAAATAGACGAAAAAATGTAAGTATGATAAAATTGAAATTGATAGATCTTTATATTATTGTCGTTACTTATTGATAAATAGGGACGGTGCTGTTAACCAACATTATCAAGAAACGGAACAAAACAGATTAACAGCGCAAGATAAACAAATGTTGGGCGAACAACCCAAACCAGGAGCAAAAGATTCTGTATTACAAGCAGAAAAATTCGGAGGCGATACACCAGCTCAGCAAGGCTCGGGAACAGCAACAACACTTGATTCAGTCAGCGGTCAATCAAATCCGAATATTATTTACTAACGAAAATAATCAATCCCGTTTGACTCTCTGACCTGTATACTCTAGAAAAAAATGTCTTAAAATAAGACGTTTACATCCTTTTCAGCTCATCTATCCCCGACTTATGCCGTCTTATCTGAAGACGAAAGCGGTTTCCATACTATTCATCAATCTTTCTTTCAGAGAGAAAGATGAATAGCATAAGATGGGCTTTTCTTTTGAAGTTTATAATTAATTGTATACATAATTTATGTTGACAAGATTTTTTACACGAAAATAAATTTGATAAAATATTATCTCGACTCAACACATATTGCTGCTTAACATGACACGACTCTTCGGCGAACGACATTTCCGTAAATGTGCGCGAATACAAATTTAAATGACCTTTTAGTGTGGCTAAAAGGCAAAGGTGGGAGAGTGAGGAAGAATGCGACAATTAGTTTCTCTTGTTAGGAATTCTAATCTAATTTGAATTTGTGGAAGCTCGCTTCCGCGAATGCAAATTAGCCGATGTATCCTTCCTTGACTTATCTTTCATTTCCCGAGTATCTGTTTTGAGTGGATAATGTTGAGTACATGAATTCAGTCTTTTTGTTCAACATAATCTAACCTTTTCTTTTAATATATACAAAGAGAAGTATAAGAAAAACGAATTCAAACTTTAACGAAATTCGTATGAATTTTCATGGTCAATATTCTGGAAGGCAGATATAGGTGGCTGAACATTACCATAGGAAAAAACTATAGGGTTTCATAGTGGACAGGATTGTTCATGACAAGATGCAGTCATTTAACTCTGTAGTCATATAATGACATAGAAACGTCCACTTTAAAATAAAAGAACGGAAAAAGTGAAAGAGCTCTATTTCAATTCGCAGACATTTTTTGAAACAAATGATTTTTGCTTCCAACTACTGCCAAATTATATACCAGTTCTATGTCACGACCAATATGATCACTTAATAGACAGCCCCTATTTTAAGGAATGAGAGAGAAATGGGGTGATGTATTCGAAAATCACGAATCTAGGGATGTGATACTGCAAGTAGTACTTATATTTTAATGGTGTACCATATGGGATCTCAAATGGTCGGGAGAAACGCAGAAAAGGGAGCAGAGAATCATGAAAACATTATAATCAAAGAACCAATCAGCATCTCTTGAACAGAATGAGATAGCTCAAATGAGTAGGTATGTTACAAACCCAAACCCAAACCCAAGCGACTTGGGTGTATTGGGTTTGGATTTGGGTACCCAAGTCTAACGAGTAAGACTTGGGTTTGGGTCAGTTGCCAAGTACATTAATATTCTTCTTCAATGAAACTTAGCAGTAGTACCTTACGCTCTTCTGCCATACTATTCATTTATCTTTTTCTCTTCATCGTCGCTGTTTTCGCTTTCAAAACTTCAGTTTTTTTCTT